TTACAATAGTATAATACTAAATCTGAATTTGATCCTATTACCATTGCGTCGAACAATTAAGTTAAACCCTTTCGCAACATTTCTTAATATAAAGTTTTGCCAACACCTGAAGGTATTTCCCCGGCTTTGGTCTTTTCAAGTTGCAAGAGTATGAAATGTTCGGTTCCAATTAAATCATCACACATTTTGTCAGGGGGAAAGTTAAAAATTATTATACAAGCTATATTGGGGACAGAGAAAGGGATGGGCTGATTGAGTTTATTTTGACATTGCTGAGGTATACTTGAGATCATATTTTCAGGCAATTTTATAACTATATAACTCACGCATTGAACGACGTGTTCGGCATAAGACTTGATAGAATAACGAAAATTCATATAGGTAGTATTTCGGAGTACATAAGGACATACACATAAGTGTATAAGGACAACCGGAAGTTTGAAAATCTTATACAGTATCCCCCGGCATAATTGCAATTTAAAAGTTGCACTATTTTTGGTTCAATTAACCGGGAAATAAATAAACCGATACTCGTTTAATTGAATAATTTAACACATATTTTTAACTGATTATGCGGAAAACCTATTAACTGGGTTCAATTATGAGGGAAAATTTACACGTATTTTGTATACAATATATTTTTGACTGTTCAGGTGGTTCGCATAAACGGGAAAATCAATTAACCAGGGTTAAATTAAGCGGGGGATACTGTATTGGGTATATGAGAGATAGGGGTAGTATTACCCGATTTGATATATTTTTGGCAATAAAGCATACAATTAAGAGAATAAAATGCCCCTGAATAAAAAATTAAATTAGTTTGCATGTATTTATCACATTAAAAGCACGCAAGCACGAACAAGTTGTTGATGTGAAACCATTCTAGCTTGATGGCATTGAAGTTTGCATAAAAAACTCTCCACTTATACATTAGTATGTACATATGTATGTTGTGAAAACACGCAAGCCAGTGCAAATGCTGCATTTGACTAAAAATGTGTGCTAAGAATTCCACTCCAAGCGAAAAAAAAGTACAGGCACTTCAAATATTTGAAATGGATTGAGTGCTGGTCAACTCTTGTTCCTCATTTAGTTAGTATTAAGTTTGATAGTTACCTCCAAATATAGATAGTAATTAGTAGTGTAACTCTGTAACCACAGTTAACGATAACTAGATGGGTGCTCAGGTGCTGATGTGATAAGTTAAGTACTTGTTATTGCCAGAAAGTCAGGTTTCAAAACCAAAATTCCTTAGAAAACTATAAAACGTTTTACATACGTTCCTGGAGTGACTATTTGGTTTTTAAAAATACATCTTTAGTGACAATTCTCTAGAACTATCCGATATGCAGTCACAAATTTATTGAGTATTCGCTATGTAAAAGTTATGTAAGTGTGATTATAGACCGATTTGGTTATCTTGATTTTAGAGGGGTTATATCTACCTAAAAGCAAGCAAGTCTTGTCAAAATATTTTCGCAAATACTTTCTCTATGTTTTTTGGGAATGCTCCATTTTTTACATGACAAAAGAAAATGAAATGCCCAACTAAACCAACTCATTCGTAATATCCATTATTGAGATTAAGAAAATTCACCGATTCACTCACTCTTAAGTTGTAAAATGGTGCACTTTTTTCTGTTTAGAAGGTAATGTTCTAAGAAAAGAACATTCAACTTTAATAAATGCAACATTTTTGTGAGAAAATACAACGCTATAAGTCAAAAATAATGGTGCAACAATCGAATTCTGTACAAAGAATCACAGTGAAGACCCCTCCCCAAACAAACTAATACGTGGTTAAGAAATTTTGGAAAAGTGATTCGGAACCCGCCATCTCATATGTTTAATGAAGCTATATTTCTCACACAAAAATTTAACAATATCAACCGAACTTCGTTAACTTGTTATAGTGTGAAAATGAACCAATTCAGTTAATTAGGTTTCCTTTTATATTTCGGGATTAGAGAACAAAAACAAATATTAATCATGGAAAATCGCTTTATTGTTTTTTTTTAAACTTTTTCCACAAAGATCTATGCTCTTTTGCATATGTTTAAACCAATTTTCGGAGCACTTTTGGCACTCTGATTGATGGTTCCAAAACACGCTTCTGAACGCATCAATGGCGTCTTCAGGTATCGAAATTCGTTGACCTCTTAGTTTATTTTTTACGTACGGGAATAAAAAGAAGTCGTTCAGTGCCAAGTCAGGACTATGCAATGGATGTCTCATCAAATCGATGTTTGAAGAGTGATCCGTTTTTGGCGGTTGGTTTTCCTTTTTTTTTTTTGAACGATAACTGGCAAACAAATGATTGTGTACCACTCAGAATTTAATGTTCTGCGTTGTTTTAGTGGTGCGACAAGTCCAGTTTTTCCAAAAAAACAGGCAACTTTTGTTGGACAATCAAACGTTCATGTAATATTGAATGTACGTTGGTCCGTCTAATGCCTATAGTTGTCTTAACCTCCCGATAGGTCACATGACGATCTTGCAATATCAGTTTGAGCACAGCATCAATAGTTTCCGGACAACTGATTTAGGAGGATTTTCACGAACTTCGCCTTGGAGTGATCTACGACCTCAATTGAATTCACCATATCATCGATAAACAGTAGTCCTTGATGGAGCTTCATCGCCAAAAACTGAATTAAGTCATCGATGCACTGTTACTGCGTTAATCCACCTCGAAAGTTGCAAAAAGTGATGGCTTGAAAATCTTCGCGATTTAAATCCATTTTTCGGCCAATATCACTTTTTGCCTCGAACACGAATTCAATAAATATTCATATCATTATCGAAGAGATCAACGCCACCAATTCGATTATTGTATGCTCTTACCCTGTGTGGCATGTCAGCAAAATATTTTTTGTCGCCTTTCCATCGCTTCACATGGTGCAGAGATTCAATTTCCTCATGATTCGATGCAATGGTCATGACATCTCTTCATCGGGCTATCAGCGCATTATTGTTTCGATCAAATGTGTAGTCAAGCCAGACGCATTCTTAGATGACGAGACATCAATAGGTTGTCAAACGTAACACAATGTTCACGTGGATCATCAAATAGTTTCAATAACTTTAATACAACATTTCACCTAAGCCGCAATTTTTTATTTGGGTTTTCGATTCTTGTTTGCAACGCTGTACGGAATAAACGAATACAAATAGCCATCAGACGAACATAAATCCCAGTAATTAAAGCCAAATCTAATGGGCTTTCCTTTGATAAACATTTTGCAAGAATGACGGCCGTAGTGAGCAATCATCTGCTCATTGATAGATAAATTGTGTGAAAATATGCCAAATTGCATGAATTTCTCATTGAAAGGAATGTTTCACGGGGTCACGGGCGAACTTATCACTAGCATCAAATTTGTGATTATCGCACACATGGAAATACTTCTTTACAAGTTTGCAACGATCACGAGGCATTACGTCACGCAGAATGTTTTCGAGTTCCTCGCCGCAATCGGCTGATACATTTGGACTGTCTTCGTTGTACGCGCACGATAGTTCAATGTGGCCAGCTATTTCGTAAAGCAGAAACGCACTTCTATCGTTCAGTATTTGCTCCTCATCATCGATATTTTCCGAATCGCTTACTGCATCTGTAGTTACTAGAGGCAAGACCACTAAGTCGAACGTACCCCCATCGAAATTCCACTGTAAATATTTTACTCAAGAACGGAAAACATCACTACCGCGCAGCAGCGGGCCTACCTACAAATCACACTGGAAGACCTATTCGGGCTCGTGGACAACAACCGATTAACAGCCTGCCTGGACGGGTTTACTTTTATATTAATGACCTAGGAAGCTTCTGGATAATTCTATTTTAGAAATACCAAGAAAGAAAGTTCTCGAATATTCCATAACTTGGAAACAAGTTTTCAGTCGATTTTTGCATTTTCTGCTCCGTAATACAGTTTATAGGTGGCGAAATCTGACTACAAACTCATTTACTTTATATATTATTCGAAAGAATGCAATAGTCCTTACGTGAAGTGGCATCTTTCGGTCGAAATAAGTCCATACCTTTTCAAGGACCTATATAAAGAGTAATATGATCTCAATACCTAAGATTGACAAAGCTATTGACCACTATCTAAGATGTATTAATTAAATTAAACGGTCTTTTTGGTGTATTTTGGATAAAATCGGTGTATTTTATACCGTAAGCGTCAATAATACACATATAAGATACATACATATGCAAAATTAGGAAAGCGTCTTTTGGACGTACTTTCCTTTAGAGCCGAAAATTGCTGAAACGGGTCAACGAAGTCCTATATACCACACATAGTTATTTTCGCTATTCGCTAAAATGGCAAGAACGAATATAAATAAATTCCTAAATTAATTTCTGACCTTTTTTAGCTTCAATTTACACATAATGAGTTTAGCATTAAATATAAATAAAATCAGTCCAGAACTTTGTCTAGCCTCATATACGCAATTTTAAGACTTTTTCTTTTTTTCTGTTCTATGCTTAATCTACTTCATATTCCGCATTTGCAAATTGTGAGAGGGTAAGATGTTCGTTTACACCCGGTCATAGCCTGCCGTTACTTGTTTTAATTTATTTGTTAGAAATAAAAATAAATGAATTTTGTTTATACCAAAAAACAAGTTCCTGAAAAACTCTCTCTTACTTAATTAATGAATATCCAGAGAAAGAACACGAGATTTTTCCCGCTTTTTTTCTCAAGCATATTCTTGCTGTTTTTATCTTGTCATGATTTTTTTTATAGAAGTCTGGAGAAATTAGTTGTAAAATAAGTGCCAAACTTTACATAGAAAAAGTTAAAATATTCTGCTTTGCAGCAAAAAGCAATTAGAGAATAGAGTTTGTTTGCCCATATCATAGAGAAAATATTAGTTGAATCTATTGTATTGCTTCTAAACAAGCGTAACTGAATAATTTATTTTAACTGGTTTTAATTTCTCCATTGGCACAGGTTTAATCAGCGCTGGCTACATACGAATTGAAGACCAATTGGTGGATATATCTTCCAACAAACCAATACAGGTAAAATAAAATTCGGTTTGAAATTATCCATAGAAACAAGTGATGTCTTCAAACGAACATATCTTATGCACATATGTGTATAGACGTCTTTAATGTGTTTATTCATAAAATATATGCAAATGTGTATAAATATAACTACATATATTCTCCGTAAAAATAGTAAATTGTATACTACATATATTTTAATTAATTTAAAAAAAAACGAACTATTCTGAATTAATACCCCAGATGGGACTCGAACCCACAATCCCCGGCTTAGGAGGCCGGTGCCTTATCCATTGGGCCACTGGGGCTTCCCATAATATGTAGCCAGAATACATACAACAACGCAAGGCAACTAAAACAGCACACACGAGAATTACGACTATAGCACAGTACACGGAAGAAAATCAAATACACAAAGATTTACTTACGTACGCTTCATTTCAGCAGAAAGGAGAAAAATAAATAATAATGAAATGCAGCTGCTGATAAGCAAGCAAGAGCGTTCAGCACACAATAGCAAAATTCGACGACGTCATTGCTTGCTATACCATTGCTGCGCTCACACAATGTACATACCATAAATGCTACATTGATTTACCTTCAATTGCATATAAACACGAACGTGTGTATGGCTTGTCGTACAAGTAGCGAACAACCAGTTTCGGCATAGCGTGTGCGACAGTCATAGTTAACAGCGTGCATGATGTATGTATGTATATATGTATATATTTATATGAATATCCATACATGTAGTAAGACGGAGCGTGTGCCATTTGTGAGCGTACTTTGTACAGTGATGTATAATACTCGAGCACAAGCAGTCAACTGCATTAACAATGCTCAATAGGTTCAATAAACGAAATACATAACGAGTATAGGGGATACGCCTTTAGTAATTGTATATGTGAAAAAGCAAATTGAATCAAAAGAATAATTGTGAAGAGCGCACCTCATGAGTTAAGTTAGATTAGATGGTGAAAATAAAATTGCTCAAGTAATTTGAATTGGAAAAGCCGGCCGTATGTTCTAAGTACTTACAGCTAAGAGCCTCGAATTATTCAGTTAAGATATGCGATTTCTTTGCAAGTCTACGTTGTAACTTGATATACCACTTTAAAAGCATCAAATATTGATTTACAAATCTTTGCTTGTAACTTCCTAAATTGTATGTGCATGTACATATATGGTATATAAGCTAAAATTCTACTAAAGCGGATCTCTACGTCTAACCGACTCAAAAAAGCACAGTAATTTATTTATTGATTGTATTACTATTTTCGAGGTAGTCAACGAAAATTATTATGTACGACTTTCACCGAGCATTTCAGTAGACTTCCTATTGGACTCATGTGGGTAATGGGATAGTGAAATTCGTTCTCATGGCGTTTCATTAATTTTGAAAAGAAATGATGAAAAAGAAGTAAGGTGGAGTTGAACCTGGTGGTCGGGGTGCTTAGACAAGGTCACTTCTTTTTGATATCTGACGTGCACAGAATTTTGTTGTAGACGCTAAGGAATTTTATTGGTAATGCGATTGTTAAAACCAGTAAGCATGTAACTTAATAACTTTGGCTCGGACAATATTAGTGAACATCCATCGATATCCAGCTATTCAATTCCTGTACATTCAATTACGGGATTGCTTATAATAAGCAATATACGACAAAAAACAAATGAAGATGTCAATTGTGTAGATATGCATTTACCCACAATATCAGGAGCATGCTGCATTCACGTAGCATCTACCAAGTGTGAAACTTCGCGACATAAGTACATACATATGTATGTATGTAAGTAAATAAAAATATCACAATACTAAATATTTCTAATAAGTTTCACCTTAGAAATTATTTTAAGACGCCTTTTAAAATTATTTCATTATTGAGTATACGTTATTATTTATCGCAGTGTTACCAACTTCCTTCATGGGGTTTCTTAACTTTGAATATTAATTTTTTAACTGAAAAATTTGAATTAAAGATGGTAGGCTACAGATATCGTTCACATCGAGGCGTAGTAAAGCAAAGCAAATTGTTGGGCAACTCTTATCTTTTTACTCTCTGACAATTTGACATGTGTATGTAACTTGTTCGGAAATGATTGAGTTAAACCGTCCGTCTGAAGCACAAGGAGCGTTCCAAAGTAAACAGGACTTTTAAAAAAGAGACAGAACAAATGGTTTTATCGGCAAAATCAATTAATTTTATTCAAAATAGTCTCCTTCTGCTTTAATACAGCTTTTTGCACGGCATGTCGAACGAGTGTTTTAGCTCGTTGCCCGGTATGGCCGCCAGTATGCCGTTGCAACCCTTTTGAATGGCCTCCACGCCTGCATAACGCTTTCCTTTTATCAGCAAATGCATTTTTCCGAAAAGGTAGAAGTCGCACGGTGCCATATCAGGTGAATACGGGGAGTGGTTGATTGTAAAAATTTGATTTTTGGTCAAATAATCGGCCACAAGCGTCTATCGATGAGACGGCGCATTATCGTGCAACAAACGCCAACTTCCATCTTCGCGATATTCGGGCCGAACACGTCGAATACGGCGCACCAAACGCTTCAAAACTCCAAAGTAGAATACCGCATTAACGTTTTGGCCGGGTGGATCAAATTCTTTGTGGACAATACCCTTGGAATCATAAAAACAAATCAGCATTGTCTTCACTTTTGACTTCTCCAGGCTCGATTTTTTGGGTTTCGGCTCATTTCTCATTTATGTCCTAACGACCACTTTGAAAACGTTGAATCCACTCGTTCACTCTACTACGGGATAGGCAATCATCGCCATAAACTTGTTTCATTAATTGAAACGTTTCGGTAAAAGTTTTACCACTTTGAAAACAAAATTTAATGTTGGCTCTTTAATGTTGGTTCGAAGCTCATTTTCGCACCGATGACAAAAACATACTGACACTTAAAACGCAATAACTTCACTTCCAATAGATAAAATGGCATGAAATTTTTACTGGAAGTCGATAAAGGATAGCAGATTCTAACGCACTAGTCGACATATAGATGGCGCCACTAGAGTTTACTTTGTTACTTTTTTACTGTTTACTTTGGAACGCACCTTGTAGCACATAAACTTGCGCCCAAAGACTTATCGGATGTTAAAGAAAGATGTAAGAATTTTCTTTGTTGTTGAGCAGAGAAGATTCAAAAAAGATACGATACTTGAAGTATCAGATATAATAAATATCGACCAGTAAGAAATATCGCTAAATATTTTTTATTTAAAATTTTAAATTTAATATTAATTCAACAATATTTGATTATTTCTATTAATAAATAATTATTATAATTAATTAAATATAAATTATTATTAATATATATATTTATTTATTTTAATAATAATTTCTTTTTAGGGAAATTTAGGGGGTTTTGCCAGAGTTTTAGGGAGAAAAATTGTTCAAAGATTGGAGCACTGATTTATCTTACCGGACAGCTTTACATGCAGCTTGTGGATGTATCATAAGTACATACATATGTATATATAATTTTACAGCGAAATTTACCGATTCAAGATAGGCTGTTCAATCTCAATAAATTTTAAAAATAAATGAGAGAGGAATACGCAATACATTGAGTCATGTAAAAAATATAATCCAATTCCTCGATATAATTATTATACAGGGTCTTCCAATAAGAGTGATATGTCGTTAAGGAAATTCAAATATTTTTTCTTTAATGTGAAGTACATAATAAGTTCTGAATATAACATGATTTAAATGGCCTCCACGACTTCTTTTGCAGGAACGAATTCGATGAACCCAATTTTTGAATACTTTTTCCACTAAATGAAGTCCTATGTCATGAATAGCACGTTCAATATTAACTACTAATGCTTGAAGAGAGTCTGGTTTATTCCTAAAAACCAATGACTTCAAATAAGTCCACAAGAAGTAGTCTAATGACGTTAAGTCACAACTTCATGGAGGCCATTCAATGTCACAATGTCCAAACTTTTCTTTTCGCAATAATTCGCTTGTTGTCCATATCGGGTGGCATGTAGTCCCGTCTTGTAGGAACCAGATATTGTCAAGATCAACTTCTTTCAATTGCGGCCATAAAAAGTTGGTTATCATCGATCTATACTGCTCTCCATTGACAGTAACGGTGTCACCAGCTTCATTTCGAAAGAAGTATGTACCGATAATTCCACCAGACTAAAAACCACACCAACTTGTCAATTTTGGTGATTGTAATGGTTGTTCATGAATAATTTGTGGATTTTCTTTGCACCAGTTTTTTTTATTTACCGCACCACTGAGTTGAAAGTGAGCCATATATAAAATGGCAACAGAACCCGAAAAGTTGCAATTAGGGAACGATTCTTCTGATAATAAAGTTGAATAATTTGTAAATGTTGTTCTTGCGTATATCTTTCCATGATGAAATTGTAAACATTACTGAATATAATGAAAAAAAGTTACAGATCATGACATATTAAAATGGCCGAAACCACACTTAGAAATCATATTATCCCTGTGATATATTTCTTTCATTGACACCAATGCTATTTGAAAAAAAGTTTCTTTGGTTTCTAACCCTCACCCTATAAACCGCATTTCTTACATTTTTTCGAAGTGGACTTGAATATCCCTGATTGCCACCTATCGGTTAAAGGGTTTCACGGTTTCTAAAAATCGATTTTTTATTGTTTTATTTAAATCTATAATCTAGAATATTGTCCTAAATTCTTAAGGTGATCCGAGTAATAGTTTTCTAGATACAGCTTTGAAAAGTTGAGCGCTCGAGGTCAGCTATATTTCCAAAATATAATATTTCTATTATACACAATATACAAGAACACAAAGCGTGCCACCCTAGCACGAGCGGCACGGTCTTTCGTCTTTCCTCGTAGGATTTTAATTAAAATATACTAAGTATGTACAAGTACATACAAACACTATATAATAAAAGAAAAAAGAAAATTATCATTTATTATGAACTTAATAATAGTAATATCTTTAACCAAGTTCAATTCATATAAAATAAGTCAATAGTAAATTGG